TCCCCTTTATGTTCCCTACTAGGGCTGAATAAACAACCACAAAAAGCCAAGGGACATTTGAGTTGTTGTTGATACACCACCTACTAAATCAGTCACCTCATATGACCAAGAATATAAGGCCAATACACCATCCATCACCCATCTTTGTTTGTCCCCTCTTTTTAGCCAGAATATCCACCACAATCATCAAAGGATTTCATTCATTCTTTGTGATTTTTGCCTCCACAACAGGACAGACAAAGCCAGCTCCAAAGCCAAGACAAAGTCAAACAAAATCAGCCCTTATCAACTCAAGATTGGAAGCTAGTGAATGATAAAGGGATGTAGGAAGGTTCCTTGTATTTGCATTCATTATATTGTGTGTTTTCCCTCCTCTCCCCTCCTTATATATTTCGGCCATTTGGCCCTTGTAATGATCATCACTGAATTATTAAAAACTCCTTTTACTCTTTGAGTATTTATAAAATAGTGTGATGCTATTTTAGCCAAATTCCTAATTCTATATCTTAAGAGTGGTTATCTTAAGTGTGAGTTTTAGGTTCTAGATATTTGATTAAGTGTGTCATATCTTAATTAAATTCTAGATGCAAACCCCAAGTTAGGATAAGAGTGTGTAATATCTCTTAAACACCAACTTGGTTTATCCATCCCTGATTTTCTTCCATTTCATACCTCCCCATTTCTCCTCTTAATCTCACTCTTTTCTTCCATTAAAATACCCAAAAGAACTCCCTCATCAACTCCATATATTTCTAGTCCATTCCCCCACAAAAAAACCCTTCTTCCTTCCCAGAAAACTGTCAAATAATCGATTATTGCTACTGTAAATCGATTATCCCCCCTCCCAGAACATCCCCATAAAACTACCCAAGAACCTGAAGCCCTAAACAATCGATTATCCACTCAGGACAATCGATTATCTCCCCTTCCCTGCAAATAAAGAGGTTTTAACTATAAAACCCGGAGCTAAGATATAACAACTATTTGGGTACCACATAAGTATTCACCTTCATTACACTATCTGTTGCAAACTGATGAAGGACCAGAGTCCTTTGATGAGGCCATACAGGTGGAGGATTCTGTCAAGTGGGAGCAAGCCATGGATGATGAGATGAGCTCCCTTGAGAGGAACAACACTTGGGTGTTGACCACCCGCAGAGAAGAGAGCTTTGTTGAGTAAGTGGGTGTTCAGGATCAAGACTGAGCCAGATGGGAAGAAGAGGTTCAAGGCTCGGTTAGTGGTTAAAGGTTATTCACAAAGGAAAGGTATTGATTATGCTGAAATATTTTCTCCTGTTGTGAAGTTAACCTCTATCCGAATTTTGTTGAGTATTGTTGCATCGGAGAATTTGCATTTAGAGCAGATGGATGTGAAAACAACATTTTTACATGGAGATCTGGACAAGGTGATCTATATGCAACAACCAGAAGGATTTGTTGTTCCGGGTAAGGAACACATGGTATGCAAACTCAACAGGAGTTTGTATGGGCTAAAGCAAGCACCAAGGTTGTGGTATAACAAGTTTGACTCCTTCATGATCAAGAGTGGCTTCTGCAAGGCTGAAAAGGATCAGTGTTGTTACTTCAAGAAATACACTGATTCTTATGTTTTTCTACTCTTGCATATGGATGATATGTTGATTGCAGGATCAAGTATGAGGGAGATTAACAGTCTGAAGGCAAAGCTGTCTTCAGCATTTGAGATGAAGGATTTGGGTGCGGCAAAGCAGATTTTAGGGATGAGGATTTCTCGGGATAGATTTGCTGGCACTATAATTCTATCTCAGATTTTGGGGATGTCTAGATTCAGGGTTAATGATGCTAAACCCAGGACTACTCCGTTGGCAAATCACATGAAATTGTCAAAGGAGCAGTTACCCAAGACAGCTGAGGAGCGAGAGCACATGACACGTGTTCCATATGCTTCGGCGGTTGGGAGTTTGATGTATGCTATGGTCTGCACTAGACCTGACATAGCACATGCAGTGGGAGCTATTAGCAGGTACATGGAGAACCTTGGGAAAGAGCATTGGGAAGCTGTGAAGTGGCTTCTGAGATATCTGAGTGGTACATCCAGTACTTCACTTTGTTTTGGCAAAGGTGAATTGATTCTACAAGGTCTTGTGGATGCTAACCTTGGTGGAGATGTGGACTCGAGCAAGAGTACATCTAGGTACATTTACACCATAGGTGGAACAGCAGTGAGTTGGATGTCTAGGCTTCAGAAGTGTGTTTCTCTTTCTTCTACTGAAGCTGAATATGTCGCAATAGCAGAAGCTGGGAAAGAGATGATTTGGATGTCAGACTATCTGGAAGAGTTGGGAAAGAAGCAGAGCGAGAAGATCCTTTACTCACATAGCCAGAGTGCCATCAAATTGGTGAAAAATCCAGTCTATCATTCGAAGACCAAGCATATCAGAAGACGTTACCATTTCACTCGCAGGGCAGTGGAGGCTGGTGACATGAACTTGGAGAAGATAGAGGGTGGAAAGAACCCGGCAGACATGTTGACGAAACATGTTGATGTTGGGAAACCGAGGTTGTGCAAGACCTCGGTTGGTGTTCTGTAGTTGTTCACTACAGATGTTGCGATGCGGTGAAGATATTGATGGTGTTGGCAATTTCTGAGATGATTGGATCAGTCTCCAAGTGGGAGAATTGTTAGGTTGTGGAGCCTGATGCTTAATGGTTAAGTTTGCTTAATGGTTAAGTTTGCTTAATAGTTAAGTTTACTAAATGGTTAAGTTTACTTAATGGCTAAGTTTGCTTAGTGGTTAAGTTGTAATGCCTATATATATTCTCCTTTGTAACTATTTTTTTGTGCAGAGGCAAAAGAGACAAATTCTCTATAACTGTATCTGCCTGAAATCATCAATAAACACATTTAGCCACCGTGAAAGTTTACTCACGGGGTGTTACCACGTCATTTCACCTGTTTCACTTTTTCTCTCTACCTTTACTTTATCATTTTTCTTCATCTTCTTCATCGGATTTATGTGAGTGTTCTTGATTCGATCCTAACAGAAATAATGATCAAAAAGCAAGTCTAATAGACATCAAAAAGAGAGTCTAAATGGCAAGTCAATGAGGAATACTATCATGCCTAAATCTAAAACTAAAATTTACACAGAAGTTTTAACATCGCACACGATCAAGTGAAGTCTCACAAATATTGTCAGGACTCAAAATACCTGCATTCATTATATTTTGAAGAGTATATCCTTTAACATACTCCATCACGAGGACGATAGACTCTTCGTTATGTTCAGCAAAGCAAAACAAGCGAGGCAAACAAGGATATCGCAAATAGCTCATGACTATAGCTTCCCCCTACAAAATAAACAAGAGCTAATTAGGCGTTTATTTCTCTTTAAAACACTTTGCAAATGTGAGAAAGTTGACAAGAACAATCGATATTACCCTAAGATCAGTATAGTAATCTTGTTTGGCTCTTTTAAAGACATATAGCCCTTCACTAAGATCAAACGCATTCCCAGGACCCACATTAACAACATTAACAAAAGCACTTCCACCGCTGTCAAGTGTTTCGTGAACATGATCATCCATATAATTAACCATGGCTTCGTACGAATGATGCGCTACTACAAAATGAAAGACACAATGCATTATAGTAGACAAAAGACACAATAACTTCCACTAATAGCTCACATATTCAACTTACATGGTTTCAACATGTAAATGTTGATGAAATGATCCACGTACACAAGAAGCCATGGATTATAGGAGAGCATACAATGTAACTTGCTGGTCCTCTGCTTTAGAACAAGATATTAAAGTTCGCATGTTTCAATATTTTAAAAGAGGGTATGTTATAACAGTTTCTTTTAAATCTATATTATATACTACTTTTTTGTACCAAAATCCTCCTTATGATTAATGCACATGAAATCAACTTAGCATCTTCGACTGTAGGCAAGCTCTCATCCCTATAAAATTTGTAAAGTTTAGAACTCAGAAACTCAATTTAAAGTCGTAGAGAAGTAGCTAAAGATTTGATATAGAGTCAAAGACAAATAGCCAAACACTCAACATAAGATTATAGACAATACTATACTTACTCAATATGGAACAAAAACTTTTCCTCCCCCAAATGTTCAGCAATAATATTAAATTCATTTTGTATCACAACTTCCATCGTTGGTTCATGAATCGTTTGGTGCACCATATCTTCGAGGGAAGCAATTGCTTCTCTCAAAGGAATAGGTACCAAAATTGCATTTGAGTCCTCCTGTATTTTACATGGTAATAAATTCAATAGGTCTTCAAGACTGTGTGCAATGAAATTACGTGATTGCACCATTGGACCTACATTGAAATGGTAAACATGGTTTAATACACTAAGATATTGCTACATCACAAAAGAGTGGCACAAGATTAAGTATCCAAATGTTCAACTGCACAAGAGTCCACAAATTATTTCAAGCATTATGAGTGCACAAACAAAATAAAATAAACAATATGTAATGCATCTCACACATTTTTTCTCAAACCACATTTGAACCTCTTCCTTTAATGCCTCATCAGCTCAAATGGTGAGACCCCTTCACAATCTCACCTGGCTAACATGTTGTCTATATACCAACTACAAAAAATCCACAATTGGAATTGAAACCTACTGTCTATATATACATATTGAACCTGAAAATAGTACTACACAAACACCATTAATCTCACAGGCCTACATGTTAAACACAATGAACACACGAGTTCAGCAACAAATTGATCCAGTTTCTACTATCACAGCGACGACTAGAACCCAAACAGTCATAGTAGACCTATCAAACCACACACTCACCCAACACCTTACAGTTAACAATTTTTTTACTTTGAATTTTTGTTTCTCTTTAGGGTCAGTTACTGAACACTGCAGAAATCAATGCCAGTTTGGTATCATCTTGTTGGTGGCGAAGAATTAACGCCTTAAGTTGCAAAGGAAGAAGAGTGAGAAGACATAAAAATTTCAATGTCATTGTGATTACCTTGATTAGGGTCCAAGATCACCTTGAAATTAATCGCAGCAAGACGCAAGTATGTCCACATCTTCATTGCAGTCAAGTTCGGGAATTCGGTAAGTGGAATTTGCCCAACCTCAGACTCTATTGCCTCCGACAACACCAACGTGAGATCCAGGTCAGCTATAGGATTTTTTCTGATACATATTACAATAACAGAAGATTAGACAAAAAATCATATTATTTCAATAATTACAAATATGCATTGACATTCTCAACAAAGAAAGAAAACAAAAAAGAATATGTATATATAGAGAGAGGGAGAGAGAGAGAGTATAGAAAACACGAATTGAACACATATGTTACTTTTTAAAAAATAGTGCTCCTCATTGCCTTAGATGTTTTCAGGCAAGAGGCGATGATAAGGCGATGCTTAGGCTAGCACCTCATCGCCTTAGGTATTTTCAAACGACGCGTCCATCTTTTAGCCCTTAACGCCTAAGAAACACCTTAATAACTATGGTGTAATGAGACAAGAAGCTTCCACATGCTTCGGAAGTTAACAAACAAATGCTTTTAAAAGCGCAAAATGCTAGACATGGGCTATAGAAACAATTAACACACATTTTGAACAACCATGGATCAAACAATATTAACAAGTTATGTTTAGGCTCCCAAGACCAACCCTTTTCACTGTCGTTCCAATTTTTCAAATAGCAAATCCGTCTTCAAGACCTTGGCTAAGCCCAAATGACAACCAAATTATCACAAGCCAGGTTCGCCAAACTTCTACTTTTAAGCATGAAAGAAAACTACAACACGGTGATCTAGTAACTCCATTCCGAAATTTCCAGCTTTACAAAATTTAATGGGATAAAACGAATACATCACACAAATTGACTTGTAGAACAAGTGGTTCTTTTTTCTCTCGAATGTAGGTGCTCAGCAAGTATTATACCTAGGTCCAACCATCACAAAATCTATTTTACAACTTCACAAAACAAAATCAGGATGAAGAATAAATTTGGCAGAGTGCATCCCTCACATCATGCAAATCATATTGAAATTGAATATGCAAGACTAATATACCACCATCCATGCACTTCTCCATAGCACATTACTAAGCTGCCAGGTATGTTTCATTAGATAGTTGTTTTGAGTCCACGAAATTGGATACAAAACCAAGATGAAAACTAAAAAGTTAATATCATCAAGGAAGAAATTTTGTTTCATTTCTACCCTCAAAAGTAGGTCCTCCGCAATTGTAATAGTATTCCTAGAGAATCCAAACAGCATTCACATTTGTCATTGAGAAAGCTAATTTAACCCATCTGCAACATCTCAGTTCAAAAACTTAATACACTGATATTTCCACATGTTCCAGCAATCAAAACTCAACTTATTAAAACCAAGCAAAAAACAGGCAGAGTACAGAGCTTAAGGGTCACAACCTCAACTAGATTATCTACAATTCATTTGAACCAACCCTCCTCATGTCCAATATCCTCCACACGGTTCTTCTCTCGCCGTGAAAACTGGAACTATTATCTGTCAAAAATAGTCGACTTATCATATATCTGGGCTCAACCTTATCATGGTTTCCCCTATACCCTACACTCCCGGGGGAAGCCGAGGACCTATGTTTAAGCTATATGATCCATTTTGAAGGCCCTTAAACCCATGATCCTCCTCAATCCCTACAATCCAGAAACAACACCAAACCTTAACCATTCTCCCCCTTCTCCTTTTCATCTTGGCCGAACCCATCTTCCCCAAAACCCTTCCTCATTCACCCCTCAAGACCATGTTAAAACACACCCAACAAAACCCCCTTCATAACCCTTAAGTTGGTCGAAAACAAGAAGCCAAAACAAACCCATTTACCCCTTAAAACATCCACCCAACAAGGCCCCCACTATGTCCCCTAAACCAGCCACAAAACATCCATTACTTAACAAAACACACATGGCACAACTTTAACAATTTAACCACCAAATAAACCACCACACCACATGCCAAAACAACACATGCCAATCCCTCCCACTTGCCTCATGGCCTGGCCGAATACAACCCCCCAAATCAGCCCATCAAAACAACACAAAAACAACCAAAAA